TTCTGCGCTTCGCGCGTAATGGGGGGGGGGGGGGGGGGAGGGGACAGCGAGCTGCCCGAATATGAATTTGTTATATCTTTTCTCGTGTATTTTGGTGATAAATAACACTTTCACAAAATAAATTGCTCGCTCGCTTCGCTCACTAGCCGAATTGTGAAACCAGAAAATTACTTTTTCGGGCAAGAGGCTTCAGCCCCCCCCCCCCCCCCGATGAAAATGTCCAAAAAAAAAATACCGGTATGGTGCTTCTAATATGACCTTGTCAGTATTGGTATGTTGAGTTGAAAAACTGTCTGCGCAATTTTCAAATTTCCGCCCCCCCCCCCTATTGGAAAATCCTGGATCCGCGCCTGGGCTGAGTAATGAGCATAAAAAGAAAAGGAAATCAAGGTAGTACTAGCCCCGACACCATTTGTGTTGTCTTATATACATCTTTCTGTGTACAGTGATTGTTACTTTACCAAAACCAAATTTATGATGATTTTGATGACTCCAGAACCTTGCAGTACACACCAATACTTACATGCTATATGAGCAACTTTTCTGATCCATTCCACACCTTTTCTTTCACAATGCAATCGCATTACCAGAACTCACCTTTATCTTTAAGAATAATTAAAAAGTGAATTAAAAGCGTATAATTGTATTATGTTTTGCTGTGGGCTATTTGTTTTGTTAGGAATTTAGAGAGGCTCTTTACTTTATTATGTGCTTCGCAAAGTCATATTTACTTTTGATATTATTATTATTACCATTATATTTGGGCCTATCATTGATATTTTAAGTTTCATCATTATTTTGTATTATCTTTTTAATGGATTTTGGGGGATTATTATTATAGTTTTGTTTTAATGTTTTTTGTTTTTCTTCTTGTTCTTGTTCCTGTTCTTCTCCTTCTACCTCTCCTTTCCCGTCTTCTCCTCCTTCTTCTCCTCCTCCTCTTCCTTCTTCTCCTCCTCCTTCTTCTTCTTCTTATTTATGTTATCATAACATTATTGTTCTTACTGATATTCTTTTGATGATAATGATGATGGAGATGATGATGACAAAATCAGAAATACTTGAGTCAATTGCTTTCGATTTGGAATCTTTCTTTTTTCCCTTATCACCCAAACTGAAGATCTTGTGTGGCAACATTCGAACCCGTCAATCTCCTGCGCGAACAATACATGTACTTGTCGATTCGCAGGTAGCCTCTCCGCGACCAGAAATAAACATCTCAAGTGACTTTATAAAATCACTCGTGGACTCAAGCAAAAAAAATGTAGAAAAAATATTGTTGTTCTTATTACTGTTATTATCATAACTGTTATATCATGAATCATCAATATTATTATCATCATTATTATTTCTACTACGACTAATACTACTACTACTACTACTCCTACTACTACTACTGTTATTGTTGTTGTTTTCGTTGTTATTGTTATTGTTATGATATCGATAATGATGATTACGATGATGATGATGATGATGATGATGATGATGATGTTGATGGTGATGATGATGATGATGATGAAGATGATGATGATGATGATGATGATTAAAAAAAAACTTTTTGAATTTCCCTCGAAACGGAGGATCCTGTGAGTGATTCAAACCCGTCAATCTCCAAGGCGAACAATACTTCTCGATTCGTGGGGAGCCTCTCTACAACTAAAAACACAAATCTCAAGCAACACCTGAGAAAATCTCGAAATAGCTTATACTTTGCACTTGAGGAGTAGAATTTCTTAGAAAATTTTGAATGCTGAGGTTCTGTGCCAACGTGCCAAGAATGTGAAAGTGATCACTTTCGAAATATTGCGGCTAACATAAAAATATGATAGGAAGGGTGGGTGATGAAGAGAGAGAGAAACAGAGAGGGAGAGCGAGAGAGAGAGAGAGAGAGAGAGAGAGAGAGAGAGGGAGAGGGAGAAGTAGATATATATATATATAGAGAGAGAGAGAGAGAGAGAGAGAGAGAGAGGGAGAGGGAGAAGTAGATATATATATATATATATAGAGAGAGAGAGAGAGAGAGAGAGAGGGGGGGGGGGGGGGGGTAAAGAGGTAAAAGTGCAAGTGAAACGTGAACATGCTCAATTCATTTCCAATTGAAATCATTGTGTGAGATATATATTCCCTACAGTTTTAACTACACACTCATGACATGCATAGGCATTTACCATATTTACATTTCGAGATGTAAAGGAAATAAAGAGGTCAATATGGAGAGAGATATGATTAAATCATTCATTTATTGCAACCATAAGTTGGATTTCATACAGTAAAAAAGGCAGGTTCACAATTTAGTTATATGTATATATACTTTGTACAATAAAACTGTATAAATTGACACTTTAAATACATAGATATGAAAAGAAGAAGAAAACAACAAAAAACACTCAAGAGCAATCACATTCAAACATAATTAAAAGGTACATAGGACTTCACAGGACCAATAATCATATATCAACTGACATCAACGTATTGTCCAACAATTAAAATTGAGAAAGATTTTGAAAGAAAAAGAGAGACAGTAAACCCAAATTGAGTGGTGGTATAATGCATTATACGTATTAAAAAAAATAATTAAAAAATATATATATCCAGTCAAATTCAATTGGTATTAAATTTGTTACATTATAAATTATTATAAAATACATATAATAAACAAGTGTGCAATTTTAAGTAAAACATCTACACGGCACCTTAATGCAATATAACATTGGCAATAATGATTATTAATTAAATGTCATACCATGTACAAAGTTTGAAGACACTAATAAAACGGTGTCGTATGATAATCACAAATATGTAAAATAGGATTGATGTCTTCTTATTAAAATTATTACATATACATATATTACGACATCAACGTATTGTTCAGAACAGTAACAATTGAGGAATATTTTGAAGAAAAAAAAAGAAAAGAAAAAAAAGGAAGTAAACCCAAATTGAGTGGTGGAATAATGCAATATTTTTAAAAATTAATCCAGACAAATTCAATTGATATCAAATTTGTTACATTCTCAATTATTTTAAAATTCATATAATGAACAAGTGTGTAATTTAAGTAAAACGTCTAAACGGTACTTTAATTCAATATAAATTTGGCAATAATGATTATTAATTAAATTTAATACCCTGTACAAAGTTTGAAGACACTAATAAAACGGTGTCGTATGATAATCACAAATATGTAAAATAGGATTGATGTCTTCTTATTAAAATTATTACATTTATTATGATGAGAGAGAGAGAGAGAGAAACAAAAATAGAAAGAGCTATACCCTACTCCTCATCATGACACCTGGATGCCACCTACAGTACCTCTCAAGACTGAAAGGTTCTTGGTCTATTAAAGCATGGACCTACTACCATGATTAAAGTCATCTTCTCCTCATACCCTGCTGTGTTGAAGAGGGATCATGCATTCCATCGTATTGGGGCATAACAGTGCTAAACCAACTAATCCCCAGGGGTAAGAGCTATTACCCCTGTCAATCATTTTGGGCGTACCTGGGGTGAGCCGATACCTCTCTATTATAACGTGCCAGGAAAACGTCAAACCGATCAATCCTTAATTACCTGGAATTCGGACGCTTGCTAAAGTGACCGGTACGTAATTATGAACTAAGATTAAGTGTAATCAACCACTAAATTAAGTATGGGAGCCTGCCCAGGAATAATTACTACGATAGGCCTATAATACTTAAACTAGTCTTACACTTAATTAAACTAAAATAGTTGCAAGCCCAACTGAAGCCGTCGGGTTGAGTGCCCAAAGGATCCGAAACAAATAACAAGTCAGGTCAATTTTACCCGTTAACTCATGCAACAAAATGTGCCGAAATAATAATATGTAGTAAATAAAATTACTAAAAGAAAAAACCCTAGGGATGGAGTTGTCAAATGCCCAAAATGGGGGTTAAATGCCCCATCAAAGCTCATGGGCTCAAGAAGAGTACACTGTCCACCAGAAGAAAAGAAAAACAAACACCAAAATCTTACGTAGGGGGTGTCGGAATTACAGTGGAAAAAGGCATTTGTTATCTTCTAACTTTGATTACCCAAAGTGTTTGGTGTAATCTTGAGTTTTGTATTAAATTAATTGGGCAATTCAGGGTTAAGTGATAAGTTAATGTGAAAAGTGTTCAGGGCTATACCTAAGACCGTTACTTGTTTCAAAACGTACACATAACGTTAAGGGGCTTGCTATGTTCTGTGCGATGCTGACATTTACTATCTATATATGATAAACAAGATCGAGTGATGGGGGCTAGAGAGAGAGTGAGGGATAGAGAGACTAGGAGAGAAACAGTTATATATATATATATATAGAGAGAGAGAGAGAGAGAGAGAGAGAGAGAGAGAAAGAGAGAGAATGAGGTAGAGAGGTTAAAACTGGGCATATTTTGAAGAGTTTGTGAAAGAAAGAGAAATGAGAAAAGTAGCGTGATAGGGATGAGAATGGTGGGATGAAACGCGAAAGAGAGGGAAAGACAAAACAGAGAGAGAGAGAGAGAGAGAGAGAGAGAGAAAGAGAGAGAGATAGGGAAGGGGGGGGGGGTAAATACATTTCCAGTTAATACTCGATCAGATTAGTGCAAATACAGTTTCACCCGCACTATACCGGGATTTCATTAAAACGCTGTAGGGCTATAGGTATTTAGCATGTGACGGATGAGAGTAAACTTAATCTACTTTCGCCAGAAAACACAATCCTAATACACGTCAATTAAACAGATCATTCTAGGGGGCTATATACAGTATGCAAAGACGTCCAATAAAAAGTCTAGATGACAGAAACCCCACACGAATGGCACGCCCCTTCAATACAACACACGTACACAATCAACACTAACTAACGCCAATCACTATGAATGACAGCTGTCCAGTCATTCAACCCAGCCCCAACAATAGCCATTCCCGTATTGTTCCCCGTGTCACTCAGTTAGAGAACAATACAGATGTTTTTCGCACCTTTTATAAAAGAAACAAGGAAGGCACTCAAAACATGATTTAGTGTAGTTGTCGTTTTGTGTTGTGATTCGAGAACCATTGAACCACGGACGAGTGAAGGATAGACTATCCCCTCGAACACCCGGGAATCGTTAGTTTAGCTTTAACTCTTGAACAACATACTTCTCACTTCACGTCAGCTAGAAACTTCAGAACGACCCTCAAAAATTACCCTTGGCTGTTTTTGGACTTTTACGATCAGAAGCTCGTAAGGAGAAGGTCATCCCGTGAAGTTTACGGCCATAACTTGGACGAAACCAGCATAGGCTCTCTGGAATGTCGTATTTGACCCGATGAGGAGTTGCCATAGTTATTTGTAAACCGTCTGCATCTTACTTTTTAAAAATCATAAATCAAACGATCTTCCAAAATATTTGTTGGAAGCCGCAGAGAAGTTGGACATTAAAGTTTAAGTGAGCACAAAGAAGCCAGAAGACAAGCAAATTGAAAGAGTGCATTGGTGAATAAAGTTTGTTAATTCTGCTAAAGGAACATTATCTCTATCAGTTCTTATTCATCATCCGACGTACCTCGGATAACTTTACAAGTACTCATTTTAGGAGTTGTGTATATCACGTGTTACACCGAAGCGATTCGACGTCACTCCTCCGAGATGGTTCGGATTATGGACACCGTCATTCTTTGCGTCTTCGCACTCCTGACCGTGGTCATCGATGACGCCAACGCCTACATGTGGAACTGGATGTGGAGTGGAACTCATCCGCAAGGCCGGGCTCCTCCTGAAATGGTCAACGACGGACCGGTCAATAATGGCGATCTGGAAAGAGAACATCCCAGAAACATCCAAGCAAGACTTCTTCTTAATGAAACAGAGGCTCGGTACTACCAGGTAAGCCAAATTAGATTTCTGTTTACTCATTCTATTTACCTTATGAGAGCTTTAGGTCAATACTTGCTTCAATGAATTGTCGTTTTGTTATCATCACCTTACCAATGGTTGCGTGTTCAAGGAATCTTGATCAATCGGTGCATATCTCAAAATGAAAACAGATCCTTGTTGAGTTTTCAAAAGATATATGTCTGTTGGCATACAGTATACGGTACAATACTTTAATGAAGCTCACGTTAAGAATAATTTCCTCCAAGTTCTTACTAACTTCTTATTTTCATGTCAGAGTTCGTGTATTATAACGCGTTCAGGGCAAAATAATAAGTATTTCGTTTTGTTGCGTTGAGTTGTGTTTCTGTAATTGAAAAAAAAAATGAAATTTGAAATTAATAAAAGCATACAAGTTTCTATGTACATGCACCTCAACTCAACATTGAGAGGGAATCCGACATCACGTTCTATTATCGAAGGAAGCCATTCAACGCTCCGATATCTGTCAATTAATCGGGGCCGCAATTAAAGCCTATTGTTCGCGTTCACACTTCCACGTTGGGCTATTGCTCGAATACAATAGGTCCAGGGCCCAGAGTGATTAGATAACGTTACAGTCACAATTGTGGAGGCAGGTCCTAGACTCCCCTGATTTCAATAGGGCACAGACTGGATCGATTTCTGATGAACCTTAATCCTGGAAACGGCCAGTCATTATGTATGCCCATCAGGATTCAGAAACCTGTCTCTTTTATTCGACACTTTTATTTGGCGTGTGTTTCAAAAATAGAACAGACCAGACGACGCGATTTAGAATAAAGATTCGAAAAATGAATCAATATACTGCATCCACTGTCCCGCCTAATGATCACATGCATGTCTTACCAGTCACATTGATACACTGAGCATATTTAAAGAACGATCCTAACAATTCATATTTACTTTTGGTAAAAGCATTTGGAACTAACAACTGTTCATCCGTTAAATTGTCTCCTCCACCATTGACAAGCATTAAGTGAAACAAAAATGTTGTTATCATTGTTGGAAATATACTGAATTCTTTATAATTGTAGCTAATAATAAATAAATTATCAATATATATATATTCATTATAATTTGAAAATTATATTTGTGTATTCTTCTTCTACCATTAGGATCTCCCTTGTGATAGCGATAAGATGTGCGGCCGTGGTCGTTTCTGCGACCTCCACTACGGTGGATGTCATCGACATCGACAACCAGGACACCAGTGCAGACGAGACGGACATTGCCAGAAAGGACATGACTGCATGTTCGGAACCTGTCGCGCCACCATCCCAGAAAGAACACTAGGTAAGCATCTCCCTGTTTTATGCCGGACTTGATCATATTAAAGACTAAAGATGCGGAAAACATACTTTAGATACTTTTAGTCCCTGTGTTCCATAAGAGTCTGTAGAGGAGTGTCACAAATATATTTATCATACATTTTAGGTTGAGAGTTTGGTGATAATATTAACGCATGTGGATTCCCTTTTTGCCCAAATTTGTATAATGACGATTAATAAAAGGTACCATCTCTTCCTCTATGTCAGTCCTCCATCCCATCCCTAACTCTTTCTTTCTCTCTCTCTCTCTCTCTCTCTCGCTCTCTCTCTCTCTCTCTCTCTCTCTCTCTCTATATATATATATATATATCTCTCTTTCTCTCTCTCTATCTCTCTCTCTCTCTCTCTCTTTCTTTCTGTCTATCTCAATCTGTCTCTGACTTTGAGAATTTTTTTAAAGGGTGTAATGTAACAAATAAATAAAGGATACTTCATGATGCTCGTATAATGAAATTAGTTCGTTCAATTCCAGTTTGACATATATACCCCGATGACTTTGCGAGAAATAGCTATTTGCTCAAAACCTGCAGGCGTTTGGCTAGAGTATTAGTTATTGTAGTGTCAATATTTGCCGACAAAATGTCACGTTTTAGTACAAACCTCACACCCATAAAGGGTACAGTGCAATTGACAGGTATTATCTACGAGTGGATTCGACTCCTTTAAAGAGCAGACTAAAGTGATTGACATCAATATGATTTAATGGTAGGGCGTATATTTAATGTAAACTTGAAATAGTTGGTATTTTACCAAATGGTCTAACACTACGAAAGTTCCAAATGACGTCGGGACTGTAGAACAGATTAGTCTTTACCTAGCCTTTTTACATGGAATGGTAAACAATAACCAAAGTGAGACGAAATTATTTGAAATGAAGGTAGAATCATTACGTTGTAGGGGATTTAAAACAGAGCTAAATACAAATGCCTATGTATCGAGAAACCTAAAGAAGGTGAACTATTATGTTTTGATGAAGTAACTGGAACTCACACTTACAATTGGGTAGAGACAAGACAAATTCTCATTCAATACGAACAAGTGGTTTTGACGTGGAACACCTGGGGAGATCGTAGACAGGTCTCTTGATCTGGTTCGAGTGACCCAATGATTGACAGCCTTTTACCAATAAACGTTAACACAAAAGGAGATCCCAACTCACGGGGCGTAATTATTGTTTATTACGGGTGGTAGGGTGCCATTATATTAAGGCTATTCTAAAGCTTGTCATACTCATTGCTGTGATAAAGCCCTTGTCCACGCCATTCGAATCAGAATACACACATCCATGCCCGTACCTATATCGTAGTTTACAACAGAAATAGAAATTATCCGTCGAAACAGAAAACTTTGTTACGTACTACTTTTACTTATTCCGTTCTATTTATAGTGAGAGTTAACATTTTCTGAGTCAATTATTCATTATAGCCTTTTATATAATGTCTTGCCACTCAGGAAATATTTACCAATATGAAACGATATCTAATGATTGGACTCTTCATTCGATATCATTTCTGATTGGTCAGTTGCAGAACTAATTTTTTCGGACTCTTTCATTCTTCTTTTAGGGGCGCGATGCAGGAACAACAAGGATTGTAGCCACAACATGTGCTGTGCTAAGCAACACGGCGAGTCGGTGTGCAAGCAGAAACTCCCCCTTCAGGCAAAATGTTTCATCCCACCGGGAGGAATAGAATACGTCATCGATACAATGTGTCCGTGTGAGGAAGGACTCGTATGCAGCGAAACGGTTGTCATGGAAAAAAGAGAGTGAGTATTTTTCTATTATTTCCCTTGATTGTACTGACTTTTGATGATTTGTGAAAAATATAAGTTTATACAAAAACAATATGATTTTTGTCAACAATAAGGAGTTTAAAGTTTGTCATCAAACACGCAATATGCCTACTATAAACTTCCCCCACAGCATGTTTGGCTGCTGTTCGGAAAGCATCGATTTGAAATATGCAGGCATTTCTATCAATTTTATCAATTTTTCCTTCTCCTTGTTTTTTATTTTGCAGACAAGAATTTGTACTTCGCTTTTGGACGGACGAAGGACACATGCGATGCCAAGCCCGGTGAGAATTATTGGACTTAACACAAACCTGTGCTATACATTCTTGCTCAAGATGTACCGTGTGCTGCCCGTCGTGCTCCCGATGGCTCCCGATTACTCTCGATGGGTGCCGATGGCTCCCGATGGCATCTGATAGCTCCCGAAAGCTCGTCATAACGCGTTCGGAGTGTTCACCGAAAACAAGACGCAGTGCGTCAAGACCAAGCCGAAGCAACTATTAGAAGACGCCATCTGTCGACGAGATCCAGCATAGTTATTCTCCAATTCTTAATGTGATTAAGATGTGTATATATACATATATTTTTGTTGATGTATTGTATAAACCTTCGATCTCTATTTCAAATAGAATCGTTGATATATTTATATCCTGTGACACAAAATTACTGCATTAGATAATTTAAGAGGTATTTTTTAGATGTTGCTCCTATTCAAGCACATCTTCAATCAATACCGTTTTGGACTCATGGTCACATATTTTTCAATACATTTGTAAAGATATTCGACATGATAACTGAGTAGTAGGAAGTTATGTGAACTTTTTCCATACATTCGATGACTATGATCCATGTTGGGCCATGTATCTCTTCAGTTACCAATACTTCTGAGAGACAAATTTCAATTCAAACTTTCAGGCACGATTCGAATGATCTCGTGATTTATCGCCAAGCCTGGTAGTGGCATTATATTTGGACAGTGGTAAAGCATTATCCATGCATTTAGGGGGCACTATCGACATTACGGGAGGGGGGGGGGGTACTTTATCTTATTAAGGGGATGAAGTTAAATCTTACGTGAGGTCACCGAATAGAAGATGGCGGTCCGTGATCGTCCTGTTTTCACGCTGCCCCTTCTCTCTCCCTTCCTCCCTCCCCACTCTTTCTCTCAGTTTCCCTCTCTCCATCTATGTCTCTTTCTGTCTGTCTGTCTGTCTGTCTCTCTCTCTCTCTCTCTTTCTCTCTGTTTATTTCATCTTTATTTTTTTGCTATGCAATAGGGGAGAGAGCATTGACTTTGGGCGCCTCATACTATTTTGGCAAGTGTTACATTCGAATTTCATTCACCTGTTTTGAAACAAAAAGTCATGTTTGTCTCCAGATTCAATGTTTTTAAACTTTGGTATGTACTAAGGTTTGAGATCTGTACTGAGGAACTGCTCATAAATCATGGGAAAATGAAAGCATTAAACGAGCTTCTTCATAGCCGTCTCATTGAGTGTAATATATCATATGACTGTGATGACTAATATATTTTTTGATCATGCTGTCAACAAAAATGATGGAATGATATGTGGAGTGTTATATATTGTGATGTAATAAAACAGATATGTAAATTAATACATTTGGGCTGTATTGACTCATTGACTGACAGTGAAGAGGAGAGGAAGATATATTCACACGCAAAGGAAGCACATTCTAGAAAGTGAAAGATAGGGGAATTTATTATTCCATTAAAAAAAAATTCATTATAAAGATAGTTTTTAAAAGACCAGGATTCAATATCTGACTTTAATTATGTGTTATACCCCAGACTATTATTTAAAAAAGAAAAAATATGGCATCCCATCTCTAAAACACTTTAGACACGGCAAGCGATAAAGGAAGAAAGAGATGCGTTTTAGGGCAAGAGAGTATGAACGAAGAGAGAGAGGGAGAGAGAGAGAGAGAGAGAGAGAGAGAGAGAGAGAAAGAGAGAGGGAGAAATATTGAGAGTTAGGAGAATGAGTTGTTTTGAGCTTCAGTTTCTGGGGCGAGAACGTGTGAATGTAGAATAACGGATTCACGAAAACATCCCACCCTCTCCATTTCTCTTTTCATCCTCACTCACCTTTTCTCTTTCCACCATACTTCTCTCTCTCTCTCTCACACTTTCTATATCTTTCCCCTAACTTTCTTTCTGACTCTCTCCCTTTCTCTCTCTCTCTCTCTCTCTCCCTCCCTCCCACTCTCCCCTCTCTCTCTCTCTCTCTCTCTCTCTCTCTCTCTTTCTCACACACACAGCAGTTTAAAAAAAAATACATTTTACATAATTTTCTTTTAAATCAAATACATATTGTCAAATCATTCTTAACAAAACTGGATACATTGTACAAAATTGATATTTACGATTAAACATATATTGCAATAATAAAAAGAAAACAAAAGTACATTTTCATATATAATGATCAAGAATGTTTAAGTAAACTTGAGATATTTGTTTGGTCTATTCTCCCACCCCCCCCGCACACACACACACACACACACACCCAAACCACACCCACACAAACTATTTCTCTCTCTCTTTCTCTCTTTATCGCTCCCTCCTCTCTCTCTCTCTCTCTCTCTCTCTCTCTCTCTATCTCTCTCTCTCTATCTCACTTTCTCTCTCTCTCACTTATAGTTTCTCTCTCTCACTTCTCTCTTCTATATCTCTCTTTTTCTCTTCTCTCGTCTCTCTTCTCTCCCCCTACTGTCCGTGGAATTCCATTTTCTTTAAGAAAAATAAAGAATATAAAATTTATATATGACAAATAAATACTAGAGCATGAAATAGATTCCATCATTTATTACTAGGACTACATACATTTGATACAAGTATATGGAATATACATGAATTCTACGTTATTAGAAGCAGCGAATTTTAGGGGAAAAAAACTTACAGGAGAGTAATATAGAATAAGATTAAAAATATAAATAAAGATTGAGAGAGAGAGAGAGAGAGAGAGAGAGAGAGAAGAGGATGGGTTACCGTGTCAGAAGAGGAATGAATAAGTGGCTGACAAAAATAGGGAAGGAAAGAGAGTGTGAGAGAGACCTAGCGAGACAGTAATAGAAATAGACAGAGATTGATGATGTATAATGTATGAACGAGAAGAGAATAGAGAACGATCGTGTGAGTGAGTGTTATATTTAGAAATAGTTCGCGAGCCAACATCTAGACTCCGCCGTCATATACATCTCTGTAATGCGTGAGCCCGTCTTATAGCGGTCATGATCCCTTGCATTCCAGGTCGACTTAAAGCCCCCCCCCCCTCCCCCAACCCGGACAGAAACGGGGCCGATGATGAAGTCCTATCCCTAACTCGAAATGAAATCAATCCCATCATCTCAGTATCTCAAAGCTGATGCAACGTGCACTTGGGTATTGGTATAGTTGCTTTTTACTGCACACCCATGCCGGTGATCTTCTCCTGAACGGTACCATTTTCTATTATTGTGTGATCAGTATTGCCAAAAAGCCTTTAGCTGAATACGCCGAAGACATTTTTGTTCAAGTTGTAGCTGTTTTAAGGTAAGCACGACATCAAATAATTTTTTTGGGTTACTTTTTGTTCTTTTGAATAGAGAGAATCACTTTTTTCTGTGTAGGGAGATAGTTGATGGAACAAGCATGGATGTATATATATAGGTCATTCTGAGTCTGTATTTGATATCAATATAGTTTTGGTAATCATTGATTTAAAAAAAATAATCTGCATTACTTTGACACTTTGAAACAGTTTTTTCTAAATAGGATTGTGATTTTATAGAGCAACTTACAACTGTTTTAGCCTAATAAAATCGGAATTACTTACTATTACTAGTACGAGTACAGATAAAATCATTTGTGTTCCAGACATGTTTAATGGTCTTACATTATGATGGGATGTTATACTTTTTAAAAACGTTATACTTCAATGATATAGATAACGATAAGATAGATACAGGGTAAGTCTTAACTGATAATTAAGTTACCGATGCGAATAACAGCTTGTGCAAGCTTTCAAACAAAATTAATTACTGAATTTAAACTCATAAAACAAAATTGAATAATGATTAAGCTTGTTTGCACAGAATATTCAATATTACAAACGCATTATTACACCACTATTCAATGCGTTTCTCATTATTATGATATTCAATATATTTTCTTTCCGATTTAATTCATTTATTGTTTGTCGACCCTAGCCTTATCGATGATTTGAAAGCTATGTTTTGGGAGCACTCGATTCTGATCTCTATTAAAGGTACTATGTCCCATTTGCAGGCCAAAAAAATGAAAAGGTTAAATTCCAACGGCATTTGAAAAATAATACTAATTTAGAACTTCCCTAAAATATGGGGGGCTTAAAAATGTCTTTAAGCGGGAAAATAACGACTATTAGTTGTCGAATCGACTTAAGAGCTATAGAGCCAGTAAGTAATAGTCTGATTTTCAGACCATTGTACCGAATGGTCGTACGTTTTATGCTGCGCAAAGATTCAATTAGTTTCATTTTGGCCATTAGAGAAGTGGGTTATTGATGTAGACAAATGCTTACATGTATGTACCCTTTACAGCTCATTTGATGAATACCAAAGAAGAAAAAAGCCTGTCAGTAACTCAATATTGTCTGATAGTGAAGTCTAGCAAGTAAACGGGTTTCCTTGCATAATTTGAATATTAGGATATTGCTAATGTTTAATTTTCACAGATAGGACATACATGACATATTCATAATTCCTGCAAAGTTCTACAGAATTTGTTGTTGGCCGCAAAAGGGACATAGTATCTTTAAAAGTTGCTATATTGTTGCGGGAAAATTTACAGCTTTTTCAAAAATTTGTGAATTTCACGAATTTAGAAAAATACGAAATATAACGACACGTGTATGAAAGTATAATGTATATCAAAATCAGAATGCAATGGAAACAATTTATGATGTTAGTCTTAACATTGAAATACGATGACTTTAACAGTCAAAGTAAAAAAAAATACAAATGTAAGTATTCAAGAGGGACATCAAAAGCTAGTGAATATGATTACACAGTCTCTTTCAAAATCAAACTAAGTTAATGTCAGACAATGTCAGTTAATGTCAGCCTTGTGCGCATTAAAATTGTCCTTTCGTTGACATCTTGAAAGTGTAAGCGATCGCGTTAGAAAGGTCTTCCATAGTGTCACATTGTAAACCATCACCGGATAAGTAATAGACTAAGGGCGAATAAACTGCACAGATCTTTTCAAACTGATCGTAGCCTTTATTGTACTGAAAGAAATGTTCTGTCGCCCATACATCTTGAATATTTTCTCTGACTTCTTTTTATATAATAGTTGTGACAGTAAAGTTAATTCTTGATAGAAAAAGTGTATATCTTCTCAGAATATTATTGATAAATCTATAAGACCCTTTAGATTGATCTACATTGATCTACATTTGTCACACTCAACCCAGGTAAATGGGTACCTGGTAGGATTTCATTCCTTGAAATGCTAGAGCGCCGTAATGGCAGCCGTGCTAAAAGCCAGGGTAATAATCTCCCTCTGCGCCTCAGAATAGTTTACTAGATCGATAGCGCAATACAAATGCTGTAGTATTACTATTACTATTATTAGATTGATCAATAAATTCAGGGAAGAAAGAAATTTTTATATAAGACCAAATCTTACGATTATTGTCACAATCATTTCACGAATAGAGGTAATAACAAAACAATTTTAACTTTATGGTCAACAGTGTATCAATATTTTGAAGAAGGTTTTGAATCTGCACTTTGCAGACTTGTTCAAACGTAAATGAAATTGATTCATGAAATGAAAAATTAAGAATGATCATGTATCATTTTAGATGGTAAAGTTTACACTCTCGTAACTAACAGGGAAACGTCCACAGTACAGTGAATCCTCAGGATCGACGCCCCCATGTGATTATTATCACTTAATATCGACAGATTTTTAAAACAATAATTATTTATTTATTTATTTTTCAAAAAAATAAGGTTAGGTTTTTCATAGCAAGGTTACAAGATTTCTAAAGTAAACTGATACAAAGAGGGAAAGAGACAAATGTATTTAAATATAGGGAAAATAGAATATATGAAAATAAAGGGGCAGCATGAATGTATTGAAACAAATGGGAAAACACAATCTAAAAGCGAAACCTGGATGCATTGGCTTATAAGGATAAACTAGTGAAATAAATGAATATTATATGGGAAGGCAAACATTAATTTAAGAACACTTAAAACAACAGTTTACATAAGCCTTACACTACCCAATCATTATAGTAACGACATTTAAATGTCCATCATTACAATGCAATGCTTACACCAGGCAATGTAAGATGGTGTTTCATAGTCATCGACATTATCACATTGCACAGATGCCAGAGGGATGTACCGGTCGGGTTACCACTCTACACTGTATATTACTTTGCCGATTGACCTTAAGATGAGGTTGTCCAAATATCTGCAACTTGAAGACAGATGAGGGCGGTGTATATGTGCGTTTGTGGAGAAGGAAGGGGGTGGGGGTAACACTCCCAGGGACGCCGCAGGACCATATTGAATAACGATGTCGGACCCACACTTGCTGAAATGTCAGGCGAAACTTTAAAATA